GCAACCGCATAGAAAATTTTTTCCTTACGCGGGCCACGGTATCAAACCCGCTGTCGTGTTTAATAAAAAAAATTAACGAATAATCGCGAAATGCAACAGCAATGCCGAAACCAAATGCCTCTGTCAGCTTTTTTCAAAACACACTGCAACAAATAAGCTACGTCAAAAGGGCCCTATGTCTCGATAGAGATTAAAGAGTATTTAGTCATTGATTGTCAACACAAGCTTTAAACATTTTGGATGATTTGGAACCAAAGTAACCAACTAATTCAAAGAAATTATCTATCAAAATAAATCTAAATTTTTTTTTCTTTTTTATTCATAAACTTTATTTTCTATCAGATCTTGCAAAAGCTGAATAAAATTGAAAGCTCATTAGGTTTGTACTTTAATACAAGAATTGATATTGTTCCTCATGGGATCGACACTTGAACTCAAAATCTTGTATTACTTGATCGACGTGTGCACTTATGTGAATTACATGCAATAGAACCAAGGAAGTGGGAGCCAAACTGCAAGAAGTCACGAAGGGAGCAGAGGAATGACGTAGAAATGAGCGTCTGGATACGGGATTTCACTAGCGTGGGAGATCTTCCACATTCCATAACGATTGCACTGAGCATGTCTAGCTTAGGAGAGCTGACTGGCTATTCCACGAGAGATTGACGCCTCCTTTCCACAGAGGGACCAAATCCTAATTATCTAGGGCTTATATATGTGTTTCCTTTATTTTAGTTTTTTGATTTTGAATTGTGTTGCTGTCAGGACAGCTGTTGATATCCCCTGTTTTCTCTTCTAGAGGTTGTATCCAATGACAAGTGGTGCTCTAGCTGTATCCCGTTTGAGCTAGTGATGGTCTTCTAAAGATAGAGTGGTGCTCCAACTGCATCTCATTCCTGTGGGTATATTTATCATTCCCAACTTCTCATATCTCCCATTTCATTACCACACATTCCTCCTTGCTGCAGTTGCCCCGACAACAACCATTTTGCCATTTCAGAGTGGAGAATAGGTGAAGCCAACTAGCGTTCGTAAATATGTCAAATGCCACAGTTTTAGGCAAAGTGCAACAGATTGCCCAAATAAGGGTACTATCTAGCAGGGAGCTAGTAAAAAAATGAGTAACATTGTAGAAGGTGAGGACACTGAAAAAAATGAGGACACTAAAAAAGGTGAGGACACAAAAGGATACCAGATTCCAATTGATGAGGGAGAAAAACATGTAGTTCAAGATGAGCCCATAAGAGAAACTCCAACATAATTAGCATTGATGGCCCAAAACGCACCTAAGTTTGAGGAGTAGATGCCAGACACACGACAACCTCATATAAGAGAACTCAGACTTTTTAGATATAATTCACCTCCTGAGTTGCCACTATTAAGGAAGGTTCAATATGTCAGAGATGAGACTCCTTTATGCCACTTCTAGAAGACTAAATTGAGTCATTTGAGTATTAAAATCAGTTCAATAGTGCACCCATCAATAGCTGATCATAAAGAATTGATAAACCACAACATAGCAAATCTCCTTAAAAGCTTTAGGAAAAGAACATCCTATACTGAGATTTAAGTTTTTTCAGAGAAGAATGAATTCTCTTGAGTGGTTACACTTCAGTGTGGTCTAACTTGCCACAAATTTCAGTTCAGAGTTAGTCCTTTCAGACGAATTTGTTTATCAGATGCACCCTGCCGAGCACGAAGAGCGGAAGAGACAAACTACAGATTTAAAGCCTCAAGAGTTACATTGTAGAAAGCTATGCTTATATGCAGCTCTAGCTCAAGTCGTGTCAGAAGAAGATAGATACTTATTTATCAAGATATGCTTTGAAATAACAACACTTGTAGAAGTGACTTACCAGAAAGTTATAGTAGCTCCACCACCTTCAACGTGGCTGACCTGACATCCTATCCTGAAAAGATATCATGAAAAGTCATGAGATTTGACAAATTGGGTCGAAGCTCCCCCAACCCCATGAGATTGAGATGGGAGCCTCGGCGTAAGAAGTCAGAAATGCGAAAGCGGAAGAATGATGCAGGAGCACACATCTAAACACGAGAATCATGAGTGAAGGAGATCTTCCGCATTTTGGAATGACTTGACCGAGTCAATCCAAGATTGGGCTAGTCCAATGGCTCTTACATGAGGGATTGACACCTCCTTTCCACAGAGAGACCCAAACCTAATTATCTATACGTGTTTCCATTGTTTAAAATTTTCATTTTTGGATTGTGTTACTGTCAAGACAACCACCAACGTCCCCTATTTTCCCTTCTAGGGTTATATCTAAGGGCAAGTAGTGCTCCAACTTTATCTTATTTCGAGGTAGTAATTGTCATTCAAGAGTGAGTGGTGTTCCAGCTATATCTCGTTCTCGATGGATTTTATCCTTCCCTAATTCCTCTGCATCCCTCCACCTTCATTAGCAGGCATTCGTACTCATTGCATCCACCCCAACAAAAGACCTTTTGTTGTTCTTCTGGTAGTTCCTTGCTGTCCAGCCATCTTTCTGGCTGCCTCAGCCCCAAAACAACCCCTCTTTTGTTGTCTCGTAGTCCCTCATATTTCCCTCCGCTGTTTTCGTCATTCCTTATTTTGTTGTCTCGTAGTCCCCAACAAGAGACCGTTTCTGGCTGTTTTGCTGCTAATCCAGCAATCCTTAACCACTTCCCTGCCACCTAGTTGTTGTCCCAGGCCTCCCACACCACCTCCCTACCACATATCTGCTATCCTACCCAACCAGAACCACCACCCCACACCCAAACTAATGTTCTAGCCACCCAACATGCTTCAAATCGTTGTTTCTCCGCTGCCCAGACCACCTATCCACTTGTTGTCACCTCAAGCAGCGAATACCCCTGCTTCCCTACTACACTGCCCACATACTCCACCTCCCCACATTGCCTTCACCTTCCCGGACCCCCAATGGCCACCACTATTGTCGGTACACTTTAGTTGCAGTTCATATCATGTTTGTTGCTATTTTCTATTATTGAGTGTTGGTTTTAACTGTCTATTAGCTTTTTCAGTAATAATAATTGTTTGCTTATTGTTATTTGGTTTGACTTTGGTATCGGCCAATTGCACCAATGGGACGAGACTGTGAGACCATTAAGCCAAAGTAGATAATAACTTGATGGGTGACAGTTTGATTTGTTACAAATTGTGATAGAGCAATACAACATCCTAAAGATGAGAACCAAAGGTCATATATATCAAAGTGTTATGTTGAGTGTCACCTCTTGAGCCCAAGATGCGATAAAGCACTACATGGTGTAAGCCACCTCTTGAATTTATAAGGGTCACCTCTAGAATGTTATCTGCTTAGTTTGTGATTCTGGGTTAAGAGCATTGACGATAACATTAGTTACTTATGCGGGAAAAATTATGAAACTCCTCAAATAAAATGAAGCTGAACCCTGAAACATCGAGGTGCTTTTTAGTATAACAATTGAAATTTCATTAGAAACTCCAAACTTAAGAGTGCTCTTGTGAGAGCACTATTGGGATAAGTGACCTCTAGGAAAGTTGCATAAATGAGACAAAATCGTAAGCCTATTAGGTCAAAGCAGACAATATCTCAATGGGCGAGAGTTCAGGCTATTACACAATAAGTCATAGTTATCCAAAAGTTTGAAATTTTAAGAAATTCCCAAGAAGAAGTAATAATTCTTACTATAATTTCATGAGATAGAACTAAACTATCCTAATAAAATGACATTATGTAAAATTAAAATAAATTAAAGTCCCATGTAAAAAAAACCAGAAAAAATAGAACTAATCAAGTCATGACATCAGCTTAATTATAAGTATAACATGATTGTATTAGTGATGATAATTGACAGATTATCGTCATTATAGTTGATGGTGTTTTAAAGCTTTCATTAGAGCAAGAGTGAAAAAATGACCTAATTGGTCTCTAGAATATTTAAAGTGTGTTTATTTTGACCACAAACTTGTATTGTCCTTCAATTTTGTCTTGTGATCTTCATTCTAACACATTTGATCCCTTAAAACTTTAGATAAGTTGAGGGACTAAATTAAAGATTAAAAAATAATTGATAACAAAATGCAAATACACTAAATAACTAAATAAGCAATATTATCATTTTCTCAATGAAGAGTAAGAGCCAATGTGGACTTCTGAGTGAGTGAGGGTAAATGGGAATCCATCTACTAGTTTAATGGTTCCAACACAGGCTAAAACATTCTAATAAATAAATAAATAAATAAATATATAATTTGAAAAGATTTCCAAGGCACAACAAGATTCTATGGAAAATGATTTTGATCCTATGCCAACACAAGCTTCTATAAAATAAGACTTTAATGCTATATTTTATTTCACAACATAGGGCGTATGCAATTATTATTGAAACATGAAAAAAATAACCAGAAAGCATATGCTTATATTAAAATAAATCAATTTTAATTAATGATAAACTAGCAAAAGTAACGATTTCTCAAATTACAATTTGACAAGCTTCCAAATTGCTGACAAAAAATAAGAAAAAGAACTTGTCACAAATTCTTTATTTGTTTTGCACCCTAAGGGGCAGTTTGGCATCAATTTTATTTTATGTTTTTTTTTGTATTTTTTTCTTTTGTTTTAAAAGAAATTTTTGTATGTTTTTTTTTCTGTTTTAAAAAATAAATAAACATAATTTTAAAAATTCTCAAAATTGCTCTTATGTGCTATGTCTTTTTAAAGACATTCATTGTAACAAGCATATTTTATTTAAGATCAATACCTAAACAAAACAAAATAAAAATTAAAATGAAAGACAAAAAATAAAGGTAATCCCAATAAGCCCCTAAGTTATTGCTTAGAAACTAAAAAAACTACATGCAAATTATTCAACTATAAGCTATTTATCAGAAAGAATAAGCCAAATAACATGTTTAAATAGCAGTCTAATACAAAGAATAGAATGCCCATCAAATAAAAACTCAATAAGCCAAAAAACATATTCAAAATATTAAAAATTTGACGAAAACATACTTGAAGTCTGGTCTTTACAACCCATAAGGGATTGGTTGCAATAGCCGTTGCGGCTCCTGCCCCACTGGCAGCAACAATGTTGGCACCAATGGAAAGTTGGTTAGTCGAATTAGCTGTGCCAAGGAATAAGGTTATCTTTAACTAACCATATTACCTTGTAATACCATAATGCATCTTAATTAAAGAAAACAGCTTCAAAAATTACATTTTTTCTCTGAGTGAGTATTAAATAGAAAAAAGGAGCATTTAAATACATAGCACACAATTCTTACATATTTGCATATCTCACACCAAAGATTTCATATTTACACACATAGCACTCAAATCTTTAGCATCACGTCAAAAATAGCACTGCTGCCGCATTTTACGAGTAAAATACACCTTTTCATGCATAGATTTAAAGCAGCCGCATTTTACAAGTAAAATACACCTTTTCATGCATAGATTTAAAGCACCAAAATGCTATGTATCTAAATATGAAAGTTTAGGTGTGAAATATGTAAATACATAAGAATTGTGTGCTACGCATGCAAATTTCCTAAAAAAAATAGATGCCAAAGAGAATAAAAAAAATAACCATGTGATTGAAGAACATCCTTTAGCTTATCGTAAACAGTAAAGTATACCTGCAAAATGAAATATCGGCGTTGCAAATCATCTCTATGCAGTATAAGTTGTGAAAAAGAAATTTGGAAATAAATTTGATGGCAAATAAACAAACAGGTAAATAGATCAGTCCAACTCAAATTGTTGGTGATTGCTGCACCCCCATTTACCATTTTTACAATTAAAACATGGCCGGAAGTCCAAAGTAGGTTTGTTTAAACTGTTAATATAGGCTTTATTAAATCCAATAGGAGAGGAGAGAAGGCTTATTAATTTGGATTTTTTACCCTCAGAAAATACAATTTTGGGCAATTCACATCCTTTTATCATGGAAAAGCACAAATGTGGTCAGTCTATGAGACAATTGTTAAAATTTCTTATTTTAAAAGCATATAAACTACATATTCCCATTATAATTATCAAACTATTGTCAATTATAAGCATTTTGTAAAATGAAAGCTCAGCCTTAGCATTTAAGAAGTTATAAAAATGTTGTAGCAACCAATGAATTTGTGTTTTCAACTTTCAAACAGGCAATATATTACCATTGCAAAAAGTAAAATTTATTCATAAGTTGGCTCAGAACTTCCAGTGTAAGTAATGACCAAAATACGACAATTTTATGAGAATAGTGGCAAATACTTTGAGAAATTGAAAATGAGGATTCACAAAGTCAATTCCAAACAATTGTAATAAGAATAATGATGATAGTGATAGTAAGTACATTAAACAAACAAATTTTCAGAGAAATCCTAATGCAGAATAATCTCAGTTTTCAATTTCTTCCAAATTTCATCAAGAAATCCATCTTAGAAATCATCCAATTGGGCCTAAGAGACTACTTTATTAATAACTCATAAAAAGTTACTTATAGAACACCGCATAAGTAATTGAAATTAAGAAGGAAAATACTCACAGCCCAGTTTGGAAGTAATGCCAAAATAGTTGGTGAAAGTCCATGATACAATCCTCTAAAACCTTCATTTTTAATTATTTGTTTCAGGCTTGAAATAATGAGACTTCCTGAATATGGAAAATAATTAACCATATCAAAAATTTTCAAAACTTTGAAAATAAAGAATGCAACTCACAGAAAAGTTCTTAAAAAAAGTTCTGAATTGGCATGTAGGACAGGATTGTAGGTATCAAAAAAAAAAAAAAAATCTCTTGAGAGATCACAATAACTGGCATTAGAATACTACAGTTCACAATTATACATGCAACAATCAGTAATGTCAGAAGCAAAACTCACTTATTTAGGTGTGAGATATGTAAATACATAAGAATTGTGTGCTATGTATGTAAATGCCCCTTACATTTTTCACATCATTACTTTCGAAAGGTAGATCAAATCATTCCAAGTGTAATTGCTTAGCAATAGCCACCTCACCCTTGAACAATGGATTCCATATTTACGGTGAACAAGGAGAACCAAAAGAAAAATTAACAACATGCCCTCATGACAAAAATGCATCCAAATTGGTTATGTTCTATAAAAGACTTTAAACAAACAAGATTCAGAATGCTAAAGCTTGCCATCGATGATATAGCCATGTTATATCTAAAATTCTTGTTAACAAAAAGAAGACAAAAAGCTTGATAAATCAGAATAAAAAAAGGAATAGAAAAATGCTTAAATGAAGGTGTCTAGATTTATTGTTGAAACAAACATAGGTTGACAGTTTCTTGTAATAACTTTCACACAGGCTACTTAAGTTCTAAAAAACAATTTCCCCAGTAAAAAAAAGTAAATTAATAATCAGAAAATTTTCAATCAAAATAAGGTTAACAATGTTACTATAATGACAATAACACACATATGCTATCTCCCAAGAATTTTTTCAACGAAATAAAAAAAAAAATTATTCCAAGCTAATTAAATACAACAAATACATCC